CTGGATAAACATCTGGAGCAGAGGTCTATTGGTGGCTATTAGCCACAAGGTATAGATAGGAACTCACAGGCTGTGGCAGGTGGTGCTCTGTATTCTTGGTGCTTGGGGGAAGCAATGGCGGGAGGGCTTCTGGAGTTCTGGCCCCACTGCTGGACCTCCTGATGGCCCCTGGTGTTTTTGGCCACTGTGTGACACAGAGTGTTGGACTGGATGGGTCACTGGCCTGATCCAGCATTGGCTTCTCTTGTGGTCTTATGTTCTTATGTTCTTTTGATGTCTTGTCATCTGGTTTATGGTTTCCTCCTTTCTGTGGCACAACAGAGGCAAAGGCTGGCTTGCCCAGGCAAGACCCTTTTCAGTTGCGGCTCCTCGAGGCCTGAATTTCTTCTGAAAAGAGAGAACATTTGCTTTTGGGTCCACTTAGGAGAGCTGTTCTGGAGCTGCGGTGGCTCAAGTGGTTAAGACGCTGAACTGCAGGCTGTGGAAGGTCAGTAGTTCAGCAGTTCGAGACCCGAGCTTGCCGCATGACGGAGTGAGCTCCCGTCTCTAGTTCCAGCTCCTGCCCACCTAGCAGTTCGAAAGCAAGAAATTGCAAGTAGATCAATAGGTACTGCTTCGGTGGGAAGGTAACAGCATTCCGTGCGCCTTGGTGTTTAGTCATGCCGGCCACATGACCATGGAATTGTCTTCGGACAGCGCTGGCTCTTCGGCTTTGAAGCAGAGAGAAGCACCGCAACCCTAGAGTCGGACTCGAATAGCTTTCGAGCAAGGGAAACCTTTACCTTTAGGAGAGCTATAGTATTTTTCAGTTTTGCTGTGTGCCTTTGCTCAGAAGCTGGTGGAAGACAGTCAGCGGTCTGTGGGGTAGGGGTGGGGGGCCCTGGCTAGTTTCTAGTGGTTCACCCAGTCCCTCTTGGTCTCTGGGCCTTCTGGAGATCATGCTGTGTCAGGTGGACCATAGTCCGCTACAGCAAAACAGCTTTTAGGAAGAGCAAGAGTGTATTTCTAAGATCGCTCAATGCAGGTTCGTCCCTCTTATTTAAAGTATTTCCCGCTTCACCGTACAGTTCTTGAGGTGGCTTACACAGTATTATACAAACCACACAAAGTTGTATAAAAATATTACACAGCATTACGCAAACCATGTCCTTTTTTTGTGAGTTCCACAAGCAGAGGTCACTTGATCACATGAAGCTGCCTTACACTGAATTGGACCCTTGGTCTATCAAGTTCAGTATTGTCTACTCAGACTGGCAGCAACTCTCCAGGGTCTCAGGC